TATCTTAGATTGAAAATTCCATAATTTGTTCTTGTTTTGGGAATAGAGTAGGACAATTTGGATGCAAGTCTAGTATTGTAATTATGTGTCTGGTTGACAGGAGTAAAGAGATTATTAAATGCAGTTGGCAAATTATTATTATGAAATTTATCCATGAAAATTGTAATATGTAAATTAATAAGGTCAAGAAACTTTATTATTTTAAGGTCTTTAAACAGGGGGCTTGAGTGTGCATCAAATTTAGAGAAGGTCATTAAACGTATTGCCTTTTTTTGCAATATTTGCAGTGGCTTACTGTGCTTAATTTAACTTTATCCATATAAGGAACGATTCAGTATAGCTATATTTAAATATAACGGGAACACGTTTGTAAAGCAACTTCAGCAACGCCTTTGACAGACCACATCAAAGGTTGACTCTTCTCTCATTAAACATTGTCTTACATGTGTTTTCAGGATTTCAAGTGTCACAATTTTCATGTCTTACTCTGATTATTGGAGACAACTTTTCATACGGAAGCATTTGATTAAAAAAACTCAATTTCCAAATATCATAATGGACTACAATGTAACTTCTAAATATGGTATGTACTATACTTATGTATATGGCTATATAACACTTGTTCAAAAAGGGAGTTTAAATGTGAAAATTTCGATGTTTTCTCAACTGGTTTCGCATTTACTCATCCTTGCAAATATCGGTGAGGAAAGAAATTTTGCGTCCAGGAAGCAAGTAGAAAGGTTACTTAAAGGGGCAATGTCACCGATTTTTGAGCAATTCCAACCCTCGCAAATTTTGCCCAAAACTGAAAAAGAATGATTGTAAGCACAAAATAAAGCAATAACAGACACAAAAAACATGTACAGAAGTCTGGATGGGCACGATTACATCAGGATTGAGATGGATTGTAAGTGGCATCTTGATTAATTGTTGGCAGACACTTTTTCAAGTTTTAGTCAATTTTTATGAAAATCTCAGTTACATGTTGCGTGGAAGTTCAAAGTTGTTTAATATGACTCATATATCATAACTTAATCCATTTACAATGTTTATTTTTAACTTTGTAGTTGAGTTTTTGAATAAAAGCCATTTTAGGTAAAAAATCGGTGACATTGCCCCTTTAACAAATTTAGGAGGCTGCTTCATTTACTGTTCGGAGTACTCCGGATTTTTGGAACACTAATTAAATCGCACCAATAATGGTCACATGACTATTCTGACGGTCACATGACTGTTCTGGCTGCCCCTACTTTTGAGTAGGAGCAGTCAGAACAGTCATATGACCGTTTTCGGTTCGATTCAATTAGTGTTCCGAAAATCCGGAGTACTCCGGGTTTGTCTATCTTTAGGAAACATTGCTAGCAAAACAATATCTCCTGGTTTGCCCACCTTTAATTTAAGAAACATGGTTAGCAGGTTAGGAAACAATGTTCCCTGGTTTGTCCACCTTTAACTGAGAAACATGTATGGCTAGGAAACAATGTTCCCTTGTTTGCCCACCTTTGAGAAACAAGGCTAAGAAACAATGTTTCATGGTTTGACCACCTTTGAGAAACATGGCCGCCAGAAAACAATGTTTCTTGGTTTGCCCACTTTTGAAAAAAATGGCTGGGAAACAATGTTTCCTGGTTTGTCCACCTTTGGGAAACATGGCTAGGAAACAATGTTTCTTAGCTGGTCAGTTGCCCAATTATTCTGCTCACACTATAGTATTAATTATTCTTATGACTAATTATTTTGTATTTTTAGTGAGTGACAAGGCTCCCTCCAATTTAACAGTCCCAGGCATCACCGCTACTTCTTTAAACTTGTCGTGGCAATTTGCATTCGAAGAAAAGCTCTCCCCATTCCAAGGATTTTCAGTATTTTGCAGAAGATTTTGGCTATACAGTTTCAAGGAAACGTTCTATGAAACAACAACTACTCGAGCCGAAATTGTTGGTTTGAAACCATTTACAGAGTACGAAGTTCGTGTTGCACCTTGGCATCTTATTGGTTTGGGCTTCATTAGTGATGGCATTACTGTCAAAACGAGAGAATGGGGTAAGGTCCTAATGCCAATGTATTGTGCTCTATCTAATTCATGTATGCCAACGTCTCTTAACGCTTATAAACCCTGATTCCACGAGCGCTTTTTCCTGGCGAAATTCGAAAAACTTCGCACGAAGTGAAATATCGCATGCGCAGTAAAGATGCATTAGGTTAAATAGGTTTCGCGAGAAAAAAATGCGCCTTGCTAGTGAGCAGAATTCAGTTTTACTCACGGCGAAAGTGAATAAAGTGGGAAAATTCATTTGAATCATTCGTGTGCAACCATCCATATTTTGCAGAAACAATTTCTCGCAAAGAATTTCGCCGTCTAAGGTAGCCGAATATAAGTCTTAGCAACGGCATGCAGGGACGTAGCGAAATTACTTTATAATGTTTATATACGTTACCTAAAAGCACTTCCCGAAATTCAGTGTGGGTTTTGTGTGACCAGTGCGATGCTGGTTATGTCGGATATACGTGCCGTCACCTATACCAACGTGTTGATGAGCATAAAACCACGATTGTTGGAAGGCATGCCAAGGAGGCGCACGGAGAGGCTTTGGATGACTTGCTTGGGAGGTTCTCGGTTCTTCGAAAATGCATTCAGGTAGCAGGTGTTTCTTTCGAAAGAATATACATGCATACAGATGAATTGTTTATTACAAAAGGTACCAGCTTTGCATTCAAAGACTGCATGAATTACGCTGAAAAAGTCGCGTAAAATTTATGTTATATTTACAAGACTAATTAAGAAAGATTTAAAACTATAAAATTACGAATCTAAGATAAAAATGTCAGCGAAGTGTTCTATGAATGATTTCTTGAACAGACCTGTCTTGCACCTCGGAATTTCAAAAGTTCTAGGATTCCTCATGATCCGAGATACAGTTGTACATGTCTTTTACCACTTCTGAGACACGAGTTTGATAACAGCTTGTGCAATTTTCTGCAGTCTTAAGTTTCATGTTGTCTGTACATGTACTTTCTTTGGAGACACCATTTACCTCCTGACAAATCGGAAAATGATCAAGATATAGTGACTCTGATTGATTTACATTTTGTATTGACATATATGACTGTTGACATTGCTTTTTAATCTTCAACATTTGAGTGAGTCGTATGCTTTGGAACTGAAAATGTTTTATTACTCAACTCTTGAGTTGTTTTGTTTTTCATTTACCCAACATTTTACTCCCTCAAAATTTTGTTTACCCAACCCTTTTCTCTTCGGTGACACCCCATAAATAGTGACAGCTCCCTTATTACTTGTAAATAAGGATTCAAATCAAAATAATTCTTTCTGTTTTAGTTCCTGCTGCGCCACCTCGACGCTTCCAAGTGAAGGTACTATCTTCAACCAGCCTTAAGATACAATGGGGCACCGTGCCTAACCATGCCCGTAATGGTATTATAATTGCCTACGAGATTGCCATTTTAGACGAACTTAAAAATTGCTCAGAATATGTTAATCAATCTGCAAGTGTGTATCATTATGTGAAAAATGGTTTGAGGACATACCATCCATATTCTGTGAAGATAGCTGCAATGACGTCTGTTGGCGGTGGAGTGTGGAGTCCATGGGCTAGGAAAAGAACTTCGGAAGACGGTTAGTTCGTATTTAATTTTTTACATTGTGCCACTAATCCATTTTGGGTTAGTGGCACATTAACCAAGATATGTGGTGTACCAAAAATGCAATAGCCCTGTTCAGATTTTTACACAGCTAGTTATAATTAGTAGGCATCGACAATCCAATGCAACGCACTTTTTGAGGAACTTGCATTTGAAAAAGGCAAATTTACGATACGAGGAATACTTCTGCTGAACTCATGCTACTTCCTTCTTAGAATAGGCAGTCTATCAAGATATGATATTCTGAAAACTAAACAGGATTTCATTGCAGTGTTATGTTTTTGTCGGAGTTATGTTAATTTGTGATTGAGCTCATTGTATTTTCCTATAATGAAGTAACCGTCCAATAGGGAAAGCGGAGATGAAACGTGCAACCACAATGAATAATATTTAATAAAGTTGAGACAAAAGATTTGTGCACGGTGAGACACAGTTCAACATCAAACAAAGGTCTTCAACAGAGTCAGCTAACGGTCTGCTGAATGTCGTGGGTTTTCTCCGCGTGCTCCAGTTTTCTCCCACAGGGAAAGTTGACAGCGTGGATTTATAAACACAGTTAAGAAAGTAATAGCAGAATTGTGAATTGAACAAAGTCGCATGTTATTAGCACTGATGAAGATCCGGGCTTACAGATCGAAAGCTTTGCAGTAATAAATTTACGTGCAAACAAAAAAGTATCATATGTTTTATCGCCATGCAATTCTAATCCACATATAAATTTGTGCTATAGAAATGCTAGTCGTAATTGCCCTCAATAGACCTTTCCCCTTACAACTAAAATTTTGATGTAGACTAGTCTAGACAAAAATTTCACCACAGCTTGAAAGAGCATCACAAAATTAGTAATATTCCGAAGTTTCGTTGCGAAATGTTGTAAAATGCGGATAATATAGCCCTGCGAAATTTGCAATTTTCAGTCATTTTGTATTACAAACGGGAAATTGATGCCCCAATACCCGATTGGGCTGTCAATTTCCTGTGCGTAATACAAAATGACTGAAAAACGGCAAACTTCGCAAGGCTATATTATCCGCATTTTACAACATTTGCAACGAAACTTTGGAATATTACTAATTTTGTGACGCTCTTTCAAGCTGTGATGAAATTTTTGTCTAGATCAAAATTTTAGTTATAAGAGGAAAGCTCCATTTTGTGGCTTTGAAGCAAGTTTGCCGGACTTCCAATCTTGATAGAATATGGAATAAGCTATAAATTACACACACCAAAAATCATATTTTCAAAATCGCATTTTTTAGCTCCTTCTGCCCCGCCAGGAAATTTCACGGGGATGGTACGTGATCATCAATCCATTACATACACCTGGCACGAAGTACCCAGGGATGACTGGAACTCGCCTTCTATTGAATACTTACTCCATTGCTGTGACAGCGGGATCACGTGCAAGCACAGAAATGAATACTTAATTAGATGCTGTAACCTGACCAAGGTCACGTGTTTAAACAGAAAAATATCTGGTGGCCATACAAACTTTACGCTAAGTGATCTCAAACCATTCACGTCGTATAATTGTTCTATCTTGGCTTTCAATAACAAAGGCCAAGGACCGTCAGCTTGGGTTGAGTTGGTAACCACAAAACAAGGTAATACGATTAAATTTTGGTATTAAATATGATAAATCATATCTGTCCGGATTTACTGGGGGTCCAGCCCTCCTAGCCTTGACAAAGGGGGTGCAAGGGGGAACCATTTTCCTTATTAAATCCAGTTTTGCATTTGGAAAGGCAATGGTGATTCCAGCTTTTGACGAAATTTTGATCTAGCCAAGAAGAACGAAATCCATTACCATAGCTGGAAAGAGCATTTTAAAATGAGTAAAATTGCAAAGTTTGGTTGCGAATTGTTGTAAAATGAGGAAAATATAGCCCTGTGAAGTTCGCAAATTTTGTATATATTTGCATTACTCGCGGGAAAAATAACCATTTTTGAGCCGAAAATGATTATTTTTACCGCGCGTAATACAAATATATACAAAATTTGCGAACTTCACAGGGCTATATTTTCTTCATTTTACAACATTTCGCAACCAATCTTTGCAGTTTTACTCATTCTAAGACGCTCTTTCCAGCTGTGGTGTTGTTGGATTTCGTTCTTCTTGCCTTGATCAAAATTTAGTCTGCAGCTGGAATCACCCACGACGAAAATAAAAAAAGAAACATGTGGTATAAAAGAGATTTCACGCTTTCCAAGTCTTGGAACCCGGTTGTCCATATACAAATGCAAAGTAATTTCTACTATGAACATACCTGTCAGGGCCGCAGAGAGGGGGGGGCAGGGGGGGGGGGAAATTGCCCCGGGCCCCGAGTTGCTAGGGGGCCCTGAAAAATTTTTGTTGGGCCCCAGCCTTTTTTCTGTGTTAAATATTTCCGCGCAAAGGACAAGAGATCTGTTTTCTTGGGCTAAGTACCGAATTTTGGCATAAAAAAATGAGATAAAGTTCCTCGAAAGCAATTGCAACTTACTCGTCCGGAAAAATTTTGTATTCCGGAAAAAATTTTTGACCCCTAAAATGGTACACTGACCGAAAATTTTTTGGCGAAGGGGGGGGGGGGAGGTTGTTCTCCGGAAAAAAATTCCGGGGAAAAATTTTTTAGATAGGGGCCCCTAAACAAAATTTGCCCCGGGGCCCCGCCAACCTCTCGGCGGCCCTGATACCTGTACCTATACACGGCGGGATTTTTGGATTTTTCTGGGTGTCTCTGGCTTCCATATAAACAGCCCCAAAGTTGTTGGCAAAATTACCTTGTGCAACACGACCTTAAAAGTTGGTTGGAGCTCGACAACTGTCTCTCTGTGGCTCAGTTGGTTAGAGCACTGCACCGGAATCACAGGGCCACACGGGTTCGATTCCTGCAAGAGGACGGATATAGTTGCATTTTTTGCAGCTGTTTCTGGTTAGATCTAATAAATATATAAAAATTTCCACTCGAGATTTCCGTCTACAAATCCCTTCTTCTGTTATAGCGTACAGCAAATCCTTTCTCAATGTTACAAGAATAAGTGTCGCTACTTGGTCAATTTCTCTTCACTGGAACTATTCTCGCCCTGCTGGTCAAGATTCCCATCTTCATCTACAATATTCCTGTTCCTCGTGTGCAACAGATCATCTTGATATCACGAACAAAAACAACATGATCATTGATAATTTAATGGCGAATCAATGGTATGATATATATGTGTATGAATTATATGATGGAGACATTGTGGAAAACTGCAGTGTAACGTTTAAAGTGAAGACGACAGAAAATGGTAGGTCGTATATATCAAACGCATTACAGTAAAAATCTCAGACTCAATAATTAATGAGTAAATTAGCCAACCATATTGCTTTATTTTGCTCACATGATAATACTGGATACCTGGTGAAGTATATTGATCCAGTCCTTGGACTGGTTCAAAATTAATTCACCTCACTTGAAGTAGTGATTTATTCGTACGAGATGTCATTTCAAATCCTCCAATTCGGACTGGACTAGATTTCAAGTCCTCGCATTTTGATCCAGTCCTCGGCTTCGCCTCGCTTTCGTCCTCATAGTCGAATTTGAAATATTACTTAAAATCCCCTCGCTGTCCTGCATGTGTAGGGCCCTTCTTTAAGGGAGGAGGAGGGATGAGCCGTCTCAAAGAAGACAAGGGGGGGGGGGTACTGAAAAGGGGTGGGTTGATGTAAAATGGAGGGTGAACAAAACTGAATTTCTTGATGAAACCTATTGATGAATATTGGCTTCAACCTGTCAATTTTGCTATCCGAAACAGCTGTCGTTAAAAAGGAGGGGGAGTTAGAAAGTGTGGGTAAACAACTGGACTCTGTAGCGCAGTTGGTGAGAGCACTGAGGAAAAAACTGTCATGCAAATTGCTGAGCAAGACATTTTTCAAAGTACTGAAAATCAAGACTGAGTGGTTAAGTCTAATAAATGTATGTCTTCCATGTTTCTTTCAGTTCCGCCCGCACCTCAAAACGTTACACTGTGGCCATTGTCTTCCACGAGTCTCTCACTAGAGTGGTCAAAACCTCCAGACGACCCAGGAAGTGGCTCAATACTTGGCTATAACGTTGTTCTACTTGATCTAGTCACTGGTACATCGCACAATTTCACGAACTATACCGAAAAATACGTTTTGTTAAATTATTTAAAAGAATATCACAATTATTCAGTGAACGTCGCAGCTTTTACAGCCGTTGGTCAGGGAATGTTTACTCCTTGGATTCGTACAAGAACTTTAGAAGATGGTAAGTGTCGTAGCAGATGGTTTTCAGTGTCGTGTTAGATACGCAAATTTGTGTACATTCTTAGACTCACCTGACCAGAAGCAATTGCAAAAAATGAAACTTTAGGGACTGGTCATAAAGTAACTGCTAGAGTGGGCTGGAGGTAAATCACAAATTTTGCCAATAAGTTAGGTGACCCATCTTAGGATGTAGATAAAAATTTCAAAGCCCATCTAATCTTACAAAAAAATTTTCATGACCCACCCAATCTTTATTGGAAAAATACACTTTTATAATAAAAAAACTTGCAGGTATGAACATTGTAAATATACAGGGCACTGTATTGACATACATAATTCTACCAGGTTTGACCAACACATTGATACTGAGCTGCTCTCCAACTAGTTGGTTGTATTTGCTATGATTCGACCACTTCTTGTTGTATAAACAGAGTACTGGTTTCAATAGCATCATTTGCATTTGATAATTTGGATACAGTTTTGTTTACTTTTATTATTAATATCTTTATTTTTGAAGTAGACATGCATGGGTTTTTGTTTGGTGGCCCAACTGTGGACATACAAAAAAATTGGCGGCCCATCGAAACTGCCCAAAGATTTTCCATGGCCCATCCCAAATCACTCCAGCCCACCCTCGCAGTTACTTTATGACCGATCCCTAATAGGTCCTCGGGCAGGAATTGAATCTGCGGCCTCGATTCCTTCCAGACGGTCTAAAGTTGTGTTTTTCGCAATTGCCCTTGTTTAGGTCCAATAATGTATATAAATTTGCGTTCGAATATTTGAATATTCCATTTACAAAAAAACATCTACCGTAGTATTAGGGCTATCGAATGAGATGCCCCAAGATCTCTGTATTTCACAGTACTAATTAATAATTTATGTAGCGCAATTTTTTCTGGTGAAATGATCAAATGCGTCTCGTAGTCTTCGTACACTGATATTTTAAATATAAGCGGGGTTAATCATACCTAACTATGCTCACTCTTTAGCTCAGTAGTGAGTTCTTTATAGTTCAGATCAATTTAATATAGGCTACGTGCAACACCTTTGTATGATCTTACCCCCTTTGTATGATCTAAGTACCTAACCACGTTTTAACTACGCAGTGAAACATATAATATCACTTTATTAGCCACATTCAACAACACGCACTACGTCTGCATGATCTAACTGTGTTTAACTTCGCAAGTTTAGCAGTGTCAGAACACATGCAACAACATGTACCACAGACTACTGTCAGATCTAACTGTACTTTCCAAACGGTGAGTTTTGTACAAAATGAAATATTTCTAAGGTAGCGCTCGTTCAGGTACACACACTATTTCTGCATGATCAAACTATGTTTAACACTAATCCATGAGGATATGCACTAATCCACATTTTGTTTACTTTCATAGTCCCCTCTGGTGCTCCAGAAAATCTCACCGTTACAGAAACTTCTAGCTTTTCGCTTCTGGTTACTTGGACAGCAATACCGAAAGAAGATAGGAACGGTGTTATCCTGGGTTATGTTTTGACAATCCTTGATCATCTGACAAGTCAGAATGAGACTGTGATACTGAATGGATCTAACCAGTTCATGTATGAGAAGAATGATATTAAGAAGTACTATTATTATTTAATAACCATTGCTGGTCGAACATCTGTTGGTGTTGGTAGTGAGGAGAGCTCGGTTGAAATCTCAAACTTAGGAAACGGTGAGTGACTCTAGGACTAGATCAAATCATTAATTCATCTCACTTTAAAAGTAGTGATTTATTCGTAGTGACATTTATTGGTACGAGCCTTTGCTTCTTCGGATTTGATCGAATTGCGTGGACCTGAAATCTAGTCCAGTCCTCATAGTCGGATTTCAAATATTACTTAAAATCCCCTCGCTTGTCCTACGTGTGTAGGGACCTTCTTTAAAGAGGGGGGAGTAAACTGTCTCAAAAAAGACGGGGGGATAAATTTTGTTGGTAATAACGGGGGTGAGCGTTACTGCAAAGGGGTAGATTGATTTAAAAAGGGAGAGATGAGGAAAAGTCGTAAAAATTACCGAGCAAGATGTTTCTTCAAAGTGCTGAAAATCAAGACTGAGTTTGTTGATGAAAGTAGTTTCCTTGGAGAATACATACAGTAAGCCTTAATAATTCAGTAAAATTTGCAACCTTCATCCTGTCAATTTTGCTATTTGAAACAGCTGTCGTTAAGGGGGGG